ACGAAGAGGAGTATAGAGAAATAGAAGAAGGAGAGGAGTATAGAGAAAATAGAAGAAGGAGAGGAGTATAGAGAACATAGAAGAAAAGAGAATAGTATAGAAAGAGAAAAGAAAGAAGAGGATAGAGAACAGAAAAGAAAAAAAGGAGAGGAAGTAGAAGAAGAGAAGTATAGAGAAATAAAGAAAGAGGAGTATAGAGAACATAAAAAAGAAGAGAGGAGTATAGAGAACATAGAAGAAGGAGAGAGGAGAACATAGAAGAACATAGAATAAAGAACATAGAAAGAGGAGTATAGAGAACATAGAAGAAGGAGAGGAGTATAGAGAACATAGAAGAAAGAGAGGAGTAGAGAGAACATAGAAAAACGAGAGGAGTATAGAGAACATAGAAGAAGGAGAGGAGTATAGAGAACATAGAAGAAGGAGAGGAGTATAGAGAACATAGAAGAAGGAGAGGAGTATAGAGAACATAGAAGAAGAAGGAGAGGAGTATAGAGAACATAGAAAAGGAGAGGAGTATAGAGAACATAGAAGAACGAGAGGAGTATAGAGAACATAGAAGAAGGAGAGGAGTATAGAGAACATAGAAGAACGAGAGGAGTGTAGAGAACATAGAAGAGAGAGGAGTATAGAGAACATAGAAGAACGAGAGGAGTATAGAGAACATAGAAGAAGGAGAGGAGTATAGAGAACATAGAAGAAAGAGGAGAGAGGAGTATAGAGAGAACATAGAACAAGAAGAGAGGAGTATAGAGAACATAGAAGAACGAGAGGAGTATAGAGAACATAGAAGAAGAGAGGAGTATAGAGAACATAGAAGAAGGAGAGGAGTATAGAGAACATAGAAGAACGAGAGGAGTATAGAGAACATAGAAGAAGGAGAGGAGTATAGAGAACATAGAAGAAGGAGAGGAGTATAGAGATAGAAGAAGAACAAGGAGAGGAGTATAGAGAACATAGAACAAGGAGAGGAGTATAGACCAAGGAGAGAGAGGTACAAAACATTGGGATTTTACTCTGGCAGATGTTAGGTGACCATGAAATGTCCTCCACCATGACAATGAAGTGACATCATCCATTTCAGGAAGGTGTCCAGTAATCTCAATGACTGGATATCTTTCCTGGTATTGGCGCCCCATAGAAGATTCCCCCCAGTCTCTGCCCACTGGTCAGTGTGTTTGTAGAGAACCGTATTGGACGGAGAATTGGTGGGTCCAGGTTCTCGGTCCTTCTTGGTTTTATCCCATGGTGGATTTGTGCCCCATAGATCAGATTCCCTCCAGTTTTTGCCCACTGGTCAGTGTCCTTGTAGACCGTATTGGACGGAGAATTGGTGGTCCAGGTTCTCGGTCCTTTTTGGTTTTATCTCATGGTGGATTTTTCCCCAGTGATCAATTCCCCCCATGTCTCTGACCCATGGTCAGTGTCCTTGTAGAGGTGTCCATATTGGACGGAGAATTGGTGGTCCAGGTTCTCTTTCCTTCTTGGTTTTATCTCATGGTGGATTTTTCCCCATGATCAGATTCCCCCCAGTCTCTGCCCACTGGTCAGTGTCCTTGTAGACCGTATTGGACGGAGAATTGGTGGTGCAGGTTCTCGGTCCTTCTTGGTTTTATCTCATGGTGGATTTGCGCCCCATAGATCAGATTCCCTCCAGTCTCTGCCCACTGGTCAGTGTCCTTGTAGACCGTATTGGACGGAGAATTGGTGGTGCAGGTTCTCTTTCCTTCTTGGTTTTATCTCATGGTGGATTGGCGCCCCATGATCAGATACCCCCCAGTCTCTGCCCACTGGTCAGTGTCCTTGTAGACCGTATTGGACGGAGAATTGGTGGTGCAGGTTCTCGGTCCTTCTTGGTTTTATCTCATGGTGGATTTGCGCCCCATAGATCAGATTCCCTCCAGTCTCTGTCCACTGGTCAGTGTCCTTGTAGACCGTATTGGACGGAGAATTGGTGGTGCAGGTTCTCAGTTCTTCTTGGTTTTATCTCATGGTGGATTTGCGCCCCATAGATCAGATTCCCTCCAGTCTCTGTCCACTGGTCAGTGTCCTTGTAGACCGTATTGGACGGAGAATTGGTTTTGCAGATTCTCGGTTCTTCCTGGTTTTATCTCATGGTGGATTTGTGCCCCAGTGATCAGATTTCCCCCAGTCTCTGCCCTCTGGTCAGTGTCCTTGTAGACCGTTTTGGACGGAGAATTGGTGGTGCAGGTTCTCGTTCTTCTTGGTTTTATCTCATGGTGGATTTGTGCCCCAGTGTTCGGATTTCCCCCAGTCTCTGCCCTCTGGTCAGTGTCCATGTAGACCGCATTGGACGGAGAATTGGTGGTGCAGGTTCTCGGTTCTTCTTGTTTTTATCTCATTTCGGGTCTCCAAGACAGAAGATCTGTGAATAAATTTGCACTTTTTATGGGTACAGATAATGTAAACAATTTTCAATATCTATTTATGTTTACTTTTCATTGCAGGTGAAAAACGTTCGGCCAAAAAAAAAAAGAAGATGTTGAATACAACCTCCTCTCACCCGACATATTTTACACTTCTTGGAATTCCTGGCCTTGAACCCTTTTATGTCTCCATAGCATTCATCTTCTTCTTGGTGTATGTCATCTCCCTGTTAGGAAACTTGATCCTTCTGTTCATCATCAGACTAGACCGGAGCCTCCATGAGCCCATGTACATTTTCCTCTCCATGCTGTCCTCCATAGACCTTGTCCTGACCAGCACCACTACGCCAAAGGTGTTGGCCATCCTTTGGTTGGACGCCAAAGAAAATTTACTTTGAGGCCTGCCTGACCCAGATGTTCTTCATCCACTCTTTTGCTTGCATAGAGTCTTCGATACTGCTCGCTATGGCGTTTGACCGGTATGTTGCCATCTGCCATCCTTTACGGTACAATTCAATGTTGACCATTCGCGGGGTTCTATTAATTGGGCTTAGGTTCTGTTGGAAGAGGGGTTGGAGCTGCCATGCCATGCCCTTACCAATCCTCTTCAGGAAATTATCTCTGTGCGACAACAAGGTCATCCATCACTCCTTTTGTGACCACATAGCGGTGGTGAAGTTGTCATGCTCGGACGCCACTTTAAACAGTATTTATGGATTAGTGGTGGCTCTTCTTGTAGCGGCCGTAGACTTGGTCTTCATAGCCTGGTCCTATGTTCTCATCCTTCATGCAGTGTTCCGGCTGAAGTCTCGAGAGGCCCAGCTGAAGGCTCTCAGTACCTGCGCCTCCCATATCGGTGCCATCCTAGTCTTCTACCTCACCGTTGTCCTCTCGTCTGTGGTCCAGAGGTTCGGGAAGACTGTCCCCCTCTATGTCCTTATTCTTCTGGCCAATGTCTACTTGATGCTGCCCCCGTTCATCAACCCCTGATCTACGGAATAAGGACCAAGCAGATCCGACACAGGATACTGATTCTGTTACATTGTGAGGGTTCAAATAAAGATTGAAAGTTTGTATCACGACAACGTAACAACCGATACCGACTTTGCTACATTTATTGGTATTCAGTATTTTATTAATATTCAGAGCTAGATATGGGCTTTCATTCCCCCTTGTCTATGCCATGGTTCTAGAATGTATACATTGTATGAGATCCCATTGGACTGGTTCTAGAATGTGCACATTATATGAGATCCCATTGGACTGGTTCTAGAATGTATACATTGTATGAGATCCCATTGGACTGGTTCTAGAATGTATACATTATATGAGATCCCATTGGACTGGTTCTACAATGTATACATTATATGAGATCCCATTGGACTGGTTCTACAATGTATACATTATATGAGATCCCGTTGGACTGGTTCTAGAATGTATACATTATATGAGATCCCATTGGACCGGTTCTGGAATGTATACATTATATGAGATCCCATTGGACTGGTTCTAGAATGTACACATTGTATGAGATCCCATTGGACTGGTTCTAGAATGTGGACACATTATATGAGATCCCATTGGACTGGTTCTAGAATGTATACATTGTATGAGATCCCATTGGACTGGTTCTAGAATGTATACATTATATGAGATCCCATTGGACTGGTTCTAGAATGTACACATTGTATGAGATCCCATTGGACTGGTTCTACAATGTATACATTATATGAGATCACATTGGACTAGTTCTACAATGTATACATTATATGAGATCCCATTGGACTGGTTCTAGAATGTACACATTGTATGAGATCCCATTGGACTGGTTCTAGAATGTATACATTATATGAGATCCCATTGGACTGGTTCTAGAATGTACACATTGTATGAGATCCCATTGGACTGGTTCTAGGATGTATACATTATATGAGATCCCATTGGACTGGTTCTACAATGTATACATTATATGAGATCCCATTGGACTGGTTCTACAATGTATACATTATATGAGATCCCATTGGACTGGTTCTGCAATGTATACATTATATGAGATCCCATTGGACTGGTTCTAGAATGTACACATTATATGAGATCCCATTGGACTGGTTCTACAATGTATACATTATATGAGATCCCATTGGACTGGTTCTAGAATATACACATTATATGAGATCCCATTGGACTGGTTCTACAATGTATACATTATATGAGATCCCATTGGACTGGTTCTAGAATGTACACATTATATGAGATCCCATTGGACTGGTTCTAGAATGTACACATTATATGAGATCCCATTGGACTGGTTCTAGAATGTATACATTATATGAGATCCCATTGGACTGGTTCTACAATGTATACATTATATGAGATCCCATTGGACTGGTTCTAGAATGTATACATTATATGAGATCCCATTGGACTGGTTCTATGGAATGTATACATTATATGAGATCCCATTGGACTGGTTCTACAATGTATACATTATATGAGATCCCATTGGACTGGTTCTAGAATGTATACACATTATATGAGATCCCATTGGACTGGTTCTACAATGTATACATTATATGAGATCCCATTGGACTGGTTCTAGAATGTACACATTATATGAGATCCCATTGGACTGGTTCTAGAATGTACACATTATATGAGATCCCATTGGACTGGTTCTAGAATGTATACATTATATGAGATCCCATTGGACTTGTTCTAGAATGTATACATTATATGAGATCCCATGGACTGGTTCTGGAATGTATACATTATATGAGATCCCATTGGACTGGTTCTGGAATGTATACATTATATGAGATCCCATTGGACTGGTTCTGGAATGTATACATTATATGAGATCCCATTGGACTGGTTCTACAATGTATACATTATATGAGATCCCATTGGACTGGTTCTGGAATGTATACATTATATGAGATCCCATTGGACTGGTTCTACAATGTACACATTATATGAGATCCCATTGGACTGGTTCTACAATGTATACATTATATGAGATCCCATTGGACTGGTTCTACAATGTACACATTATATGAGATCCCATTGGACTGGTTCTAGAATGTATACATTATATGAGATCCCATTGGACTGGTTCTACAATGTATACATTATATGAGATCCCATTTGGACTGGTTCTGGAATGTATACATTATATGAGATCCCATTGGACTGGTTCTAGAAATGTACACATTATATGAGATCCCATTGGACTGGTTCTACAATGTATACATTATATGAGATCCCATTGGACTGGTTCTACAATGTACACATTATATATGAGATCCCATTGGACTGGTTCTAGAATGTATACATTATATGAGATCCCATTGGACTGGTTCTACAATGTACACATTATATGAGATCCCATTGGACTGGTTCTAGAATATACACATTATATGAGATCCCATTGGACTGGTTCTACAATGTATACATTATATGAGATCCCATTGGACTGGTTCTACAATGTATACATTATATGAGATCCCATTGGACTGGTTCTACAATGTATACATTATATGAGATCCCATTGGACTGGTTCTAGAATGTATACATTATATGAGATCCCATTGGACTGGTTCTACAATGTATACATTATATGAGATCCCATTGGACTGGTTCTAGAATATACACATTATATGAGATCCCATTGGACTGGTTCTACAATGTATACATTATATGAGATCCCATTGGACTGGTTCTAGAATGTATACATTATATGAGATCCCATTGGACTGGTTCTACAATGTATACATTATATGAGATCCCATTGGACTGGTTCTACAATGTATACATTATATGAGATCCCATTGGACTGGTTCTACAATGTATACATTATATGAGATCCCATTGGACTGGTTCTACAATGTATACATTATATGAGATCCCATTGGACTGGTTCTACAATGTATACATTATATGAGATCCCATTGGACTGGTTCTACAATGTATACATTATATGAGATCCCATTGGACTGGTTCTACAATGTATACATTATATGAGATCCCATTGGACTGGTTCTACAATGTATACATTATATGAGATCCCATTGGACTGGTTCTACAATGTATACATTATATGAGATCCCATTGGACTGGTTCTACAATGTATACATTATATGAGATCCCATTGGACTGGTTCTAGAATGTACACATTATATGATCCCATGGACCCATTGGACATTGGACTGGTTCTAGAATGTACACATTATATGAGATCCCATTGGACTGGTTCTAGAATGTATACATTATATGAGATCCCATTGGACTGGATCTAGAATGTATACATTATATGAGATCCCATTGGACTGGTTCTAGAATGTATACATTATATGAGATCCCATTGGACTGGTTCTAGAATGTATACATTATATGAGATCCCATTGGACTGGTTCTAGAATGTATACATTATATGAGATCCCATTGGAAGGTTCTAGAATGTATACATTATATGAGATCCCATTGGACTGGTTCTACAATGTATACACATATGTGAGATCCCATTGGACTGGTTCTGGAATGTATACATTATATGAGATCCCATTGGACTGGTTCTACAGAATGTTTACATTATATGAGATCCCATTGGACTGGTTCTAGAATGTATACATTATATGAGATCCCATTGGACTGGTTCTACAATGTATACATTATATGAGATCCCATTGGACTGGTTCTGGAATGTATACATTATATGAGATCCCATTGGACTGGTTCTGGAATGTATACATTATATAAGATCCCATTGGACTGGTTCTAGAATGTATACATTATATGAGATCCCATTGGACTGGTTCTGGAATGTATACATTATATGAGATCCCATTGGACTGGTTCTGAAATGTATACACATTATATGAGATCCCATTGGACTGGTTCTGGAATGTATACATTATATGAGATCCCATTGGACTGGTTCTACAATGTATACATTATATGAGATCCCATTGGACTGGTTCTACAATGTATACATTATATGAGAGATCCCATTGGACTGGTTCTACAATGTATACATTATATGAGATCCCATTGGACTGGTTCTAGAATGTATACATTATATGAGATCCCATTGGACTGGTTCTACAATGTATACATTATATGAGATCCCATTGGACTGGTTCTAGAATGTATACATTATATGAGATCCCATTGGACTGGTTCTAGAATGTAACATTATATGAGATCCCATTGGACCGGTTCTACAATGTATACATTATATGAGATCCCATTGGACTGGTTCTACAA